ATTATCCGTTTTATTCCTTCAAGGCGTTATAGATATCCAGGGAATAATCTCTGTCTCATATATATATCATTCTAATAAACATGAACAATAATAAATATAATGTGTCCAAGAACGTAGGAAGCTTTTTTTTTTATCTTGTTTGCGTCTAATCAGGCTGCTCGGTACAAAATAACGCGTTTATATTATGGCATTCTCGGCAAATAGCTTCGTACTCTTTTGATTTCAAAAGAAAAATCATGCGTTTGAGGGGCGAGAATTCATCGTTGTTTGAAATCAAAACTGTGCTTCAACAATAGTCATTGCCAGTCGAGTTCCTTGAATTAAGAGCCATTTAATTTGAAATATGTAAAGATATGATTTATGGATTTATCAGAATAAAAATGTTATATGTGCTGCATGAAAATATCAGAAGTGAATACTTTTTGCAATACTTACTTGATAAGACAAAAGCACGTGAACTGCATTTTTTAAATAACTACTTTGAATGTTTCGTTTTATATAAAAAATCCGCAATCTAATTAATGTTATATTAAATTGTAAATAAAAAATTGTAGGGGTTCGCAATGAAATAAAGACACAGCTTCCCGTAAATTATCCGTTTTATTCCTTCAAGGCGTTATAGATATCCAGGGAATAATCTCTGTCTCATATATATATCATTCTAATAAACATGAACAATAATAAATATAATGTGTCCAAGAACGTAGGAAGCTTTTTTTTTTATCTTGTTTGCGTCTAATCAGGCTGCTCGGTACAAAATAACGCGTTTATATTATGGCATTCTCGGCAAATAGCTTCGTACTCTTTTGATTTCAAAAGACACTGATCATACATACCACTGACCCAATTTGTACGTTCTTTTTGCACAGTCTTCACGCATCGTCGCGTATCGAGCATCGTCTCCCGCCTCGATGCATCCTCAAACTTTCCGTCAAATCACAAAATAGTAAAGAGAAACAATAAAAACTGAAACCAATTCCTCTCTCGCGCGATATTCGTTCCTTTTTTTTTTTCAAAGAAAAGAGCATCGGCGACGGTAGACAATCTCGTGGCGGACAATTCATCAGCGAGTACATTTATCTCTTTTATTATCACTACTACGAGTCAACCCACGAATTGCACGACGATCAAGCGCTGTCCCATATTTTTTTCTATTCACACTTTTTTTATCCTTTTGCTTGTTGGCGACAATTCTCTCTTTTTTTTCCGCGAGGGAGAACGCAGAGTAAAACGCGGGGGAAAAAATTGATAGCAACGTCTCCGAAATAATTCGTTCGCGTTGCTCGATGGTTGCATTGTTTCGAAACCGACAGACGTGGAATGCGGCGTGCGCTCTCTGTATCCGTGCATGCACGTCTGTAGAATAGAGAGACTCGATTCATCGAATGCACGTATTGGTACTATGTAACGTATAGTCACTTCCCGTTTTTTGGGAATCTCGACGGATAATTGAAACACGTAGAAATTCGAGCATCGACGGATTCCCTCTGTCTACCGTGCGCTCGAAAACGGTTTCGTCATACAGTCCCGTTCAAAAGTGTAGCAAAGTCTAATTAACGTGATTGAATAAACGCGAACGACGTCACCAGATTCGTGATTGCAATATGTGAAAGGCGATCGTGATTGAATAATTTCCTGTAAACAAATTGATTCTCAAGAACGGGAATGTAGAGTGCGTTATTAAAATTGAAATCGAGTTGAACAATTACGTGATTATATAATAGATATACGGAAAGACAAGCGCGAAACGAGTTGAATTGGTAACTAGATTAAAAATTATGACATAGTTTACGAAGTAGCGAGGATAATTGTTTATAATCGTTTCGTTAGGTGATAGGGAAACGCCGCCAAGCGTGTACCGGTCTTCTTAAAGGCGATTCCCATTTACGGTATTCGCAAGGGAAAATTGCAGGGGACAAACGACCAGCGCGTGAAAATCAGTGCAGTAGTCGGAAGTGCGAGGTATAGGGAAAAGTATGTAAAAGCTGGGTGCCCTAGTGGGTCCCGCTGATTTACGAGTACCGCATTGATTCTCATGTGCTGACCGCTTGTCTCACGCGACTGTCCCTTGCGAAGATCGTAAGCGTGAATACTCCTTTACATTAAAATTCGCTGGGACGCGATAGCTAAAAATAATTATACACATCGTGAATAGAGTTTGAAAGTAATGTTAATAAATTCGTATCACTTCGCTCATTAGACTACGGATTTGATGCGTTCATAGAAAAATTCTATTTGCATAAAATACGAAGACTTAATATATAAAAAGTATACAGAATATCAAAAGCAGGATTTTTTTCATTGTAATAATTAGATTTTAAAAATAATTCGTAAAATGTATTCTTTAAAGTTCATTTTGCATAAAAATCCGCAGTCTAGTCATTAAATCAAACATACAGCCTAATTTAGTATAATTAATATCTAAAAGTCTTTGATCAAAAACATTTGAAAATAAGCTCGTACGAAATGTTTAATCTAACAAATTGCACCGAATGACGATTTCTTATCGTTGTCGCAACATCTACCATTTTAGTGAATAGCTTGTGCATATTATTTATATTATAATGCCGCGTTGAATACTCGCCGTTTTCATTTGCGACTACTCAAGCAGATAGATTCGACCATCACAAAGTAATTTCGGACGTTTAGTCAGATCCTTTAGTCAGACATTTTTGGCCTAATTTCAATTCGACTGAACGAGGTAATCAACGTGGCAGAACTTATCCCAAGTGCAAAGTAACGTTACCCTCGAGGAGGGAAGACTAATCGCAATAAGAGAAGAAATCGTAAAGACTAGAAGAGTTAAACATCAAAAGAGGTAAAGATTAGTATAGAGATCGAACGATCGGCGATCGTTCTTCTGACAACCTTTCGTTTACCCCGCCTTCTTAACCTCATCCCCGTAATTCTGTATACATACTCCTCTAACTCTACTACAATTTACACACTCTCAATACCGAACTGTATGTACACGCTCGTTTCAATCTCGTTTTCCGCAAAGTTTAGTGAAACGCAAGGACCTAACATGACAGGAAGATAATCACCTTCGAAAAGGATAAGATGCTGAATGCATATTTATTATGTGTATGCTTCCATTCAAAGCTTTTATTAATAGAACAACGATCGCGCTAACGCGTTTGAGAAATATGGCAACGGGTATCGGAATTGCGACATTTGTTACCCGCAACGAATGCACCAATTTTAGTTCACTAAACACAGATATGTACGCATCGTTTATGATTAGAAACAAATTGTTAGCAGAGATATTGCTACAATCGTTGAGCGAGAGAAAGTTTCCGCTTTCTTCGATTAACTGACGTAACAGTTATCGTGCTCACGGTTTTCAAACTGATCGCCTTTGAGCGACCTTTAACGCGCGAGCGTGTTAACGTATAATGATCGATTGCGTACACACTCACAAGGTGTGTGAAGAAAATGTTATTAACTGCAGTGTTTTAAGTGAAATACTCGAAAAGACTCGCTTGAATACGAACATTTCTGTGACAGCTATACAAGGATTCTAGGAAAGATAGAAAATGGATTCACACCGGAATCAGTTCACGAGTTATCTAATTACTACTTTTTACGGTTTAGAGATTTTATTGTTAGATTCGTGAAAGACGCAATTATTCCTTGCCGCGTAAAAAGTTAATTTCTTCCTCTTTCTTTCTTTGTGTTCAGAGTGAAATACCAGGGAAGACAATGCGATGTGAGAAAGTATACCTGTACAGTTTAGTTTTCCCTGTTGTTCGTAAATATTCAAAACTTACTGAACATTATTTGCACTTAAGAGTAGCAAACAATTAATTCGAATCACTAAGTCTAAAAATGTATGCGTGTATGGAAACTGTCTGTTGCCATCAAAAAATTACCACTAAGTATAATTGTGTTCGCAATGCATATAAAATGTCCTAAAATTTCCAGTGCATCCAAAAACAGACGAACTATAATATTTATTGAGACATCGCGTAACTAATCACATTAGAAATTATAGATATTTACATAAATCTTCAATGCTTGAAAATTCTTATATTAAGAATCTAAGCTCGTCGTAGAAAAATGATCGTTGACTAACGGAATAATATTATAATTATTACGATTTCCGAGCACCACACACGTAAAGGGTGTTTGCATAATTAACACAAGGATTCGGATGCTAACGAGACGTGCCGTTTTTCTCACGAACGGAACCTCGAAACCCGCTGATGGGATTGCGCAAATTGATGCGATTTGAGATAAACGGCCGCGTTAATGACACCCCGGGTTTCGCGACGAGCTCGTAATCAACGCGATTCCGCTCGAATCTGCTGAGATGTGCCAACTTTCATGTTGGAACCCAGAATGGAAAGCACTTTCCTCTTATAAATATGAGAACCGTGGAAAGTGCGTGTAGAATAAAAAAATTGATCAAATTATTTTTACGCTGTTTTCGTCAGAACTGTGTACTGTTCAAAGTCTTCAGACGTAATCGGTTCATGCTGTTTTTCTATAAACTATGTTCTTCCGTGAACGGATGAGTCACTGCGAATACAACTGAATTATGTGTCGTAGCTAAGAATAAAATCTACCGACGAACAAACTTACACTGTATATTTTATATATTAACAAGTAGAAGATTATCTGCGCGTTGAATAGATCTCTGGATTGCTGACTAGTTACTGGGATATGTACACGTGCTCTTAATACTCGTATTGCATATTGCTTGATTGATAGTTTATAAAAAGATCATTAATATGATTCTATAAACAATTGCCTTAGCAACAAGTCATCTCGCTTTATCAAATCGACAATTATAAATCAAATCTCGAACTTCATTCAATTTTGATAAAAAATTACAAACTGCAATCTGTATTTTTATGATGCATTAAACATATGTATAGCTCACGTAATGACTATAAAAACATGAGTGTAAATCATGAAGCTCGAAAAGGATACGAAAGCATGCATAGATAATAAACAAAAGTGAAAACACACAAGAACGGAAAACAAAAAAACCATTGTTCAATCAATATGTCAGTTTAATCACACATAGTCGTCTAATGTACAATTAGGAAGTTGTTTCGATTGTATCTTTGGTATCGTTGGGCGCTGAACTGATTCACGGTGATCGCTCCGGCACTCGCTAACATTTCAATCGATACACATCTATGTACACGTACATCTAAAAACCTGTACTCGATCTACAATAATCGACGCGACGAAATTCGCGGATCGTCGCGTCTTATCCTTCGCTAGGAGAAAAAACGTCGAGTGAAAAACTTCCCTCGACAGCTGCACCTAACCGTTGCACGCGGAATACTATATGTATAGTTTACGAGCTACCATACCCGTCTTCTTACCTCGTTAATCTCTTATTTTCTCTCTCTCTCTCTCTCTCTCCCTCTTTGTGTTTTTTCCTCCCTCTCCTCTCACTTTATCCTTTCTTGGTCCGTGAATGAGTTTCTTCGCTCAGTCAATTGGCATAAACGAGTAAAATTCATGTTGATACCGCTCGGTTCTACTCGTAGAATGTATACATTTCTAAATTATTCAATCGTCAGCGTTTCTCATATAAATACTTAAAAGTTAAACTAGACGCCTCCTTCGTAGGAGACTCCGTCCTTCGCGTTAGCTCGAAGAAACGAATAAATTACATGCAGCGTTATCTATTGCGATGTGTCAATGTTTGAACGACTGAGTGGTTTCCCCTTCTGAACACGTGTAGATAGATTAATTTACAGTGGTACGGAACAAAATACATAGCTACCAAGTGTTAGATGTATGTATCTACATTTAACCTTCTTCTCTTGAACTTTTCGGATCAACAATGTCGGATCCAACAGGCGTACTTGAGTATATAAATGGGGCTCCATTGTTGGCACTTGAGAGATTGCATCGGCGGCAACTTGTATTGTTCGTTGATGGACGAAATTATTGGTTTTCTTCTCCTTATCTCTTTTGTTTCGCGTGCTCAAGTAATGAAGGCGAAATACTCGAAAAAATGATTCGTGTAAAGTAAAATATGAAGTGGAATGTTATTTTTCTTTTAATAATACAACAATATTATAAGATTGTATTTTGTTTCGAATAATGCAGTGTTTATAGCAGTCACCGTTGACAAGTAGGATATCGAACGTTGGAGCATCGGACATGGATTTAAATTATAAATAGTTTAATAAACAATCTCCTTAGTTACTTCACACGAATCACTGATACAAAACGTGTTTACAAAAAACCGAGGAAAATGTGTAAGAAAGTACAGATCTACGAAAGAATGTCTTGGTAAATTTTTTCGTCGAAATCTCATCTCAAAATTTTCTGCACTATTCATAAACGTGAAAACTTGGTCGAAAACGGGTCGTCTTATCGATTATGCGACTACATTTGTGTAATTATTTTTTCACTAAACTTGTTTTGTAATCTCTAACGTGTTAATTCTTGTCGACGTAACTTCGTTTTTCAGTTTAAAAAATCGAGTTTTTCTGAGCTCCTATTCATTTTTCATTTTGGACGAACAAGACACGAATCCCCAAAGCCAACACGAACAACCCATCCGTACAACACCATTTAAGATCGCGCTTCATGCCAATTTCCTTGAACTCACACACATGAAGGAAGCATGTTCTCTACTTCGAGTTGCTACTACGATTCTACTATAATTGCGTTACAATTTGTATAGTACAATTTAAATATCAGTCTTCGCGATGTAACCAGGCAAGAAATCATCCTGCTTAACCTTTTCATTTACTCGGCTAGATCATGAAGACTGTACTTAGCTGCGGAGTATAGCTTTACCAAGCAAAAGGTTACACATTAAATTACTAGACAAAGAGAAGAAGAGAATCTGACAAATAATAAATCGTTTTTCCCTTCCGCCATAATATTAAATATATTGGAAGTTTTGTATTTACCCGGTAAATATATACTTCACAGCGAGGAGAGCATAATCACACCACGGACCTCCCTTGCCTCTTCTGTGACACCTCAACGCTTAATCCTGTATATGTATATTATATGAATAGAGCTATCTACTATTGTAAACGTGATAAATACAAACTGTGCGTACAGCCACGTGGCAAATAATGGTGGTGTGTTATTTGGCAGTTTCTCGTGTTCCACTCTGTCTCGCCCTATAATAATATCTCTTCATCCTCTCGGCCGTTACCTCTTATCACCGCAAGCGGATTCTCCATCCACTCTCCGAGCTTGCTTTCGCCTCTATCCCGGCTTAATATCGAGATTAATATCGCCGCACACTCGCATCGATTAATACCGCGTGTGCTTATGTACATACATACGTGCAATCTTTGGTTTTCGTTATCGATCTACCCTTCTGTGTACAAGCTGCCGTTCAGATGGCTCTATCCATGAGAAATTCTTTCAATTATCTTGTCTCCGTTTATTACTATCCGACAACTATTAGGCCTGCTCATCAGGAGAATGATGCTACGTTGTTCGTAATCGTTTATAGTTTCTACTATGACACACATTGCTCAGAACTATAGCTGCTCCCTAATTCATTGTCAGCCCGTTCTCTTACGTTGTATTAACTCGATAGATGACTTATATTAAAAGCAGAGCCTTCGCTCCACTGGAGTATTTAAATATACAATAGATAGATATATTTGGTACCGTTTCTGGTATTAACATTCGTTTCCTAATCGCGAGGTTCGTCGAACTAGCATTCGATAAATACGCGTCAATCTGCTCCCGTACCTTCTCTCCATTTCTTTTTCAACCTCGCCTTTTCTATGTTTCGATGCAAGTTACAAACGTTTAATTGTTTGTGTAAATACCAGAGCTACAAACAGTTGGGAATCTCAATTCACTGTTTCTTTTAGTACGATTTATCGTTCTTCATTAGTATTAACATCCAATAATCGAAATTCTTCTGTTCGAATTACTTATTTTTATTCAGATTTTCAACTGTTCGTGAGACCAGCGGCTCCCTGCGTGCGTACATGTACCTACGGTACTCTAAATTGTTCAAACACGTGAAAAAATGAGATAAAGAGGACTGTCAGTCTTGGGTAATGAGAACGGTGAAAAAACAATGGCGACTCGAACGAGGCGTGGTGATTTGTCGTGAGAGAAACGAATCCACCGTGGAATCCACGGTTCAAAGAGAAAACGATTCAGCCTCTGAGTCTCGTTAATCAGTTCTTTTTCTTTTATTTTTTTCTACTTAATTGATTGCACGCGATCAAAATTGAGCATTCATAAATTCGTCCTTTCTTCACGGGAATGTTCTTACACGTATATGCTTCGTTTAAATGCAATAACGTTTCTCGTGCGGGGGTCTTGCATCTTCGTTTTAACGAGAAAAAAGAATCACATAATTTCATCAGTTACCGTTTTTTTCAGTTCGTTTCAGGGTTATATTAGGCGAGACGTCGATGTAACGTTTAGTCACGCACTCGCTTAACCACAAAACGAGTACCACAACTAGAAAACTACTTTATGACAAAGAGCTTCGTTCTAGTCGAATAATACTGTTTGGAAAAATCGCGACCCGTTCAACGAGAATCCTCGGTATTCGTTGTTTTCGATCTCCCCGTTTGTTAGTTTCTCTCGTTGCGGGGACGCGAGTAGAGAATATGTAAAACATGAGCACGGTTGCCCTAACAATTGAATTCTGTCGGTTCTTTAATGCCCTCAGTGTAGAAAATCGTCTCGACCGAGATCTAGCAAAGAAATTCGACAATCGTATCTCACTTACCTGAGCCGTAATCGAACTCCTCCGGAATCCTGGATAAAATAATTGTAGAAGTAATCGCGCACGCTACCATGCGTGCGTACAATGTTACTACAAAAGTTTAGAGCGATGTAAAAAGACGCCGCGAATGGGTCCGTCTAGTGTGTGCAAGTGTAACGATCAAGAACTCGAACCCTAATCGAATGATTCAAACTCGACCCGACATCCGAGTCGAGTATCAAAGTCTCACCTACATTCCACAATATTAATTTACAAGAGAATGGTATTACGACACGAGGCTGAAACTTAGCTCTCGCAATTTCAACTTCTAATTCACACGCCCAAAGGGCGGTGTTTCTTTAGCGTTAGCAACGTGAAAATTCAATTCTCGCGTCGACCAACACGTAGATTTGATCCTGAAACTCGCGCCGTGCGAGGGAACGCGAAGCTTCTGGCTTGCTCGACGATTAATCACGAATCATCGAATTTCTGATTGAATACCCAAGGTGTAAAGTCGTACATCCTACAGCTCCTCGGACAGGGCGATGGGTGCCCTCGAACCGGGCTTCATGTCCTTTACGCCGATTCCAATATCGTCCAACACCGGCGCTAGTTTCAACTGGTTCCCATTCACCTTGATGTCGTTCACTGAGTGGGACCTTCCGTGACTTGCCAATGGTTTCGCGGTCTGATTCGTGCTCGTACTCGTGTTCGAGTTCGAGCTGCTCACCGAGTTGCTAGTGGGACTACCCGCCGGATTGGAACTCGAGTTCACTGCGCTGCCCGACTGGGAACTCAAATTTGGTTTTGAGTTCGTATCCTGCGCCGGATTGGTAGCAGTGAATTTTGGATTGGGAATGGTCAGCTTGGGACGTAGTTTGGGTTTCGGATTCGTTGAATTCGCGACGGGAACAGAGCTCGGCGGTTCCCCTTGGGAATCGCGAACGGGATCGGGCACGGACTCCGGTGAAACGGACATCTTTGTCGGCGCCGGCGGTTTCCATAACGCGTTTAGCTGATTGGCCGACTGCGATCGCACAGTCTGATTACCGAGCTTGTCCCGCAACGCCATTTGATAAGCGACTTCGAACGCTTGGCCTAGGGTTAGAATCACCTCCGTCGCTTGGTCCTGGAACAGGCATTCCTCGCTTCGTAGATTCATGAAGTTGATGCGAGGAATTAGCGGGTCATGGAGTTGGTTTGGTTTTCATTTAGTCAGGTAATACAGGAAAGTGGTAAATATTTACATGAACGAGGGAAATTAATGGACGTTAAGTTATTTATGGTAATAGCACCAGATAATAACAGAGTCATTAGAAGCAAGGATATAATAATGATGGAATAGATGGAAAATATTTTCTCAGATAAAAGATAATATTATCAGCATACCAATTGATATGATTAACAAACGATTCCTAATTGTGTATAATTGAAATTCTTTGTTACTTTCCATTGCATTAAGATGAATGAGACTCTTGAAAAGTATATATTCAATATGTAAGAAAGAATATGTAAAAACCTACTGGACTTCTAATAATAATTCTCATCTTTCTATAATTTTAAATTAATATAGTCAGACAAATGAAAGAGGCACTCACCATTGTTGGCACGCAGAATACATGACAGAAATGCGTGCGAGTAGCATGATCCTTGGTGATGTACGCGAAATGCGTGAGATCATCGGCGTCCTGACAGGCGCAATGAATGTTGCGAATCTCGTGCTCGCAAATCGGCTCCTATATCGATTCCCATCAATGCAAATACGTGAGCACTATAATCGCATCAAAGTCGAACGCTAACCCCTTGAAAATTCGCTAATAGAAAACTATATTCGTTCATCTTCTGACCTTCATTTTTACAACGTTTAAAGCACCTAATATGTATGTACATGTATACATATGTGACTTATATCTTGTTACAAGAGCAATATAAAAATTCAATCCAATATTATTTGCACTTCAGAATTCATTGTAGTATAAAATATTTCTCAGATTCCAGGATGGACTTCAAAATTCCAAAGGATTAACGTTTCTATATCTTTTTTGTTTATCGTGGAGGTTGAACGGAAAACATCTTACGTTGGTCACCGTATTGAAGAATCGGACGCCGCGGTAGCAAATCGCTAAGGTAATGTCGGGAATGACTCTGGGTTCGCGACAGGTTTTCTTCAGCTTCTGTATTGATTTCTTCGTCGACTCGGTACCGCGTAATTCCTTCACCACGGTCGAACCCAGATACTGCGTGATTTTAGAACAGAAAAAGGACACGTGCCACTAAACTTCGCAAATATCAAGCATTTCAATCAATTTTAACATCTAACGAATCTATTAGAACTGTAT